TGAATGTTGTATATGTAACAAATTTATATATACATATATATCAATAAAAACATAAAATATTACATGCAGATACATGTATACATACATACACAAACATACAGGCATATACACACATATTGTCTACACACATGCATACAATCATATATGATATACATGCACTCATACAAATAAATATACGCTCATACTTTCGCCATATTTAGAAATATACATCCGAGAGTATTTTGAATACACATGCGCATTTATGCATGCATATATACACATGCTTTTACGAGTGCATTCATATATATGTGCACATATGCTAGTTCATACGGAAGTGTGTATTTATAACCTTGCATTAATACATTATATAAGTTCCTACAGTACGCACATGTATACATTTAGAATAAGGATGCATACAAACATACATATTTGCATACATATATGCATATACATAATGTACATTTAAACTCACATACAGATATAAATACATACGGGCATACATACGCACATAAACTTACACAATGCATGACCAAATGGAATAAATAGATGCATACGCACCCACATATTATACAAATACGTACGCATTACATATAAACATACCTACACATGCATACATTTTTTTTTGTTCTAATGCAGCTGGCAAACACTTAGACAGCTTGTTCTTGGATACCTTAAGGCAAGCGCTGCACAAACGTTACTCACTTTGCATTACCCAGGGGTTACGGTTTAATGTTGATTCCGAACCACTACAAACATCCATGGCACCGCCGGGACTCGAACCCGAAACCACACATGCATACATAGATAGGGGTTTCTGAAATAAATGTAGATTAATGTATTTATACCCTCATGCGTATTTATACATAGATTCATATTTATACCAGTACATGATTACTCATTCATATTTATACCAGACATATATATTCAAATGTGCACATACATCTACATATAAATAACAGGCTTCATAAACCTTTATAAACATACATATGTAAGTTCTCTCCATATAAATAAAATCGTAATTATCAAAGGATGGATAACAGGATTTTAATTAAATCCTAATTATCAAAGGAGTGATTCTGAAAAGCTTAAAGTTGAAATCGAAATGCATAAAGGTGAATTTGCGTATAGTCGCATTTAAATAGCTATTTCAGAATGAAATTAAAAAAAAAAAATCCCATTCTCAAATAAATAAATAATCTTACATTCAAAACAAGGCTGATAATATTTTTATAATTTAAATATTGAATCAAAAAAATGTAATAATTTTGTACAAATTCTTTATAGGTACCACGTGCCTCAAAAATAATTTATTATTAATGATTATTTTTTCTGTAAAGAAATTTTGAATCTTTTAGATTTTTTGTTTATTTATTTTCCTTTAAAAAATTAATTAACGTTGTTTGACTTTATGTCTTTATTGCGCTATTTTTTTCTGTTCTCTAAATTTAAATTTTTCATATTTATTATTATCATTATTATTATTGATCTACTAAAATGTTCATTTTTGAATTTTGTAAACATTATGGAATATTTTTAAAAATTAAAACTTTCTTCTTGATATTTATTTTTAAAAGTTTAGTTCCTTTTTAATTTCGACAATTTCAAAATGAAGTTTTTATTTAGTACTAATATTATATCAATAAATAAAAAGCATCGCAACACTTAATTTAATTTAATAAAGTCCCATTTTTGTATTTTTAATATATATGCGTTGAATTTTAAAGCATAATATTTGATTATTATTTGATATCATTTTTATTTTCAAGATCTGATTTCATTAAATTCTAGGTTTTTTTTCAAGTGAATGCATAAGCAATCACGGTACATTCTTATTTACAATTATTTACTTTTCTTTGAATTATAGAATTGAATAAAATAAAAATGTTGAATTTTTAAACATTCATAAAGTTTTATCCAGAATTAACCAAGGGAGGATTTTTTACGCTACACCATAAAAGGGATAAAGCATTAATACTTTCAAAATGTTTTTATTATCCACCCCATTTCATCCAGAGGCTGTTGGTACCGCAGGCTTCAGGGTCGAACCCTGGCGGTGGCATGGAAGTATCTAAGTGGTTCAGAATCCACGTTAAACTGTAGGTCCCGGTCTAATTAGCCCAGAGTATGAACAAAATGATCGTAGAGAGATAGACCAAACTCAAACCTTAAAGGCTCGTTCCCACCGAGGCGAGAGACGTGAAGATTCAAGAGGCAAGCGACAAAATTTTTTTGACCCCTTCACAGCGAAACGTCAGAAATAGCATTACGCCTAGTGAAAAACCGCTTCGAGTTGAAAGTTGTGCAACTCCAAGCGGCGAACTGCAAACCGGTTTCAGGCCACCGCGGAGAGGCTAGTGATTGGTCAAACTTTTTCGCTTGCATCTTGTCGCCTTGGTGAGCACGAGCCTTAAGTTAATATGCAGCCTGATGGCCAATTGGCTAGTGCTCTGGCCGTTTGTAATGCAGGCACCAGTTTCGAATCCTGGCGGGGGCATGGATGTTTCTGTGTGGTTCGGAACTCACTTTAAACTGTAGGTCCCGGTCTAATTAGCCCAAAGTGTGCACAAAAGAACCGTAGAGCGACAAGCCGAACCTTAAAGCTCAGAAATTCATGCTATATATGCTGAACAGAGCAATGCATCCGCGCGAACATCATGATCACGGCGGTAGTTTGAGAACTAATTCACTCCATCATTTTCACTTGGTATTAGTTAAGCGAAATAAGAGCAATATCTTAATTGCTATCTAACGCAGGGACGAAGCACATACACATGTATCTATATGTATATATGAATATATATAACAGCGCGGAAGCTGCTACAGTGCTGCTGTAATCAAGAGCCAAGTGGATTTTTTTTATTTAGAAACAGACATGATTCTACTTTATCAGCAATTTAAAGAAATTTAAAGAGCTTGCCCCCAGTTCGGTGCGGCAAAAATCCATGTTCACTAGCTGTGAACGTTTCTAAGCACCTGCAGTCAGAGCGAATAATATTATATGAATATCGCTGAAAGCAGTCTGGTCAATACCTTGCATTGGTGAGAGAGCTGAGACTCATGAGAGTCATAAGGTAGAGATAAATTATCGAAGTTCAGCATTTAGAAGTGACTGTCACTAGAAAATGCGAAACTAATGCTAACAGGAGTTATCACCTGATGATCATTTTGATTTGTTATTGGCAAACTGATTTTATTAGTTGTAAGTCGAAAATTCAGGAAGAACAAGACAAACAGGTATTTACACTAACACAGACACACACACACTTATATATATATATACACTCATGTCCATAAATTAAGGATAATTCAGAATCACACAGAAATTGAACTCTAAAATAAAAATTTCACCTGTAGAATTATCACACACATCTTGAAGAAGAATATGCAAATTACAGGAAACCACCAGATGGCGCGGATAGTACGTCGCAATGACGAGAGGGGTATATAAGGAATGGTGGCAAAGAAGTAAAAGTGTTCACAAGCGCTTTAAAAGCCTTTCAGTGCAATAACCGCATAGTTATGGCACAAAGGAAGCATTTGGATGATTTTTTACGTGGTAGAATTATCAACCGACTGGAATGTGGACGTACCCAGCTGGAAGTATCCGAGGAACTTGGAATCACACAGAATCCGAGGAACTTGGAATCACCTTCTGTCTCTTTCTTTGCCTGAACTTCATTATCCTTAATTTATGGCCATGAGTGTATGTATATATATATATATATATATATATATATATATATATATATATATATATATATATATATATATATATATATATATATATATATATATATATATATATATATATATATAATCTTTACATGTAATTGCTTATTTATAATAGCAAAGAATATAAAGTACTTGATATTATGAAATGTTTTAACGCTGTTCTCAACTTTTATAGTCAGAAAAATGCGTTCAATTTTTGTATTCAAGAACTTTAAAGACCGTTCGCACACAGACCCTATAACACGGAATATATAACAATTCGATGCACTATTTGGAACGAGTGCATAGATTCGTAAAAGCCTCTATTCTATAAAGTAATAATGAAATAGACTGCGGTCCCCTATTCTAAAGGAATAGAAAGTTGGGGCAAACATTTCCCGCAATTTCATACAAGAGTTAGCGTTGTATCGCTGCTTGGCTTAATTTCCCTGTGGGCATTTATTTAGGAAACATGAATATGCCACGAAGCGATTCTGAATATTCCGAGAAATGCCTTGTTCCGGAAAAATTCTTCCTCTCAAAGTCATACATTTATTTATGTGCTTGTATAATAGATACAAGAAATGTTATTTTGCTTATAACTCTGATCATTTTGTATGAAATAGAATAAAACATTACGAAAAGTTCATAGAAATTATTAAGTTATTTTTTAATCATTTTGGAGGGAAAAGTTTTAAACAAGAAAATTTATTGATAGAATATACACTCAATGGCCAAAACATTATGACCACCTGTCAATAACGAGTTGGCCCACCTTTGGAGCGCAATACAGATTCAACCCGCCTTGGCATGGATTAACACCACCACTTAATAGCAGTTAAATACCACTTCCGCCTGATCACGTGCCTTCCACGTCATCCAGGCGAGTTCATTGCAAAATGTAGGGGTGGTCATAATGCTTTGGCTCTTGAGTGTAAATGGCAAATATTTAGAAAAATTAAATGTACGTTTATTTACAGCGAAGAAAATGGACCATTTCTTTTGAAAATCGTTGTAGGATAGTAGACCTTTCTCTTTCTTTACTTTTATCTTTCGCTGCAGCCCCCGCCCCCCCATGGTCCATGGCTGAGGATAATATGCAGCTTCACTTTAGCGAGGGACCACGAGGGCTGAAGACGGACTAAACCTCAAGACAACTAACTCTCTACGATCCTACAAGATTGGGACCTACGATTTAAAGTGGATATTCCGACACCATACAAACATCCATATCACCACCGGGACTCGAAACCTAAACCTGTGGTACCGAGTGCTAGATACTCGACCATTTAGGCCCCAAAATTAAATCATGCATCGGCCGGGAATCGAACCCAAGCCGCTCGCGCGTCAGGCAAGCATTCCGCCACTGAACCACCGATGCACCGCATATGTTAAACTACAAAGTAGAAGTCACGTGAGGAGTATGATCACGTGACGAGTATTTTTGCCTCAAATTGGTAATTCTTATGCGCTCTTTATTACATATGTTCCTGTCCTGTAGTCCCAGTGTAGTCTCGGGGCCCCACAGATTTCGGGCTCGAGTCGTGGTGGTGCCATGGATGTATGTAATTGTTCAAAATCCACTTTAACCAGTAGGTTCTGGTCTAATATAACTGTAGAGCGTAGATCTGACAACCCTAACCCGTAAAAGTAAAAAACATCTCAAGCTTCGAAATATATCAGTAAGCAGACAGCCTTGGCCTAAAACGGGGCTGCTGTGTCAATCAAGAGTTTGGGTTTAGTTTGTCACTCTATGGTCATTTTATGCACCCTTTGGGCTAGTTAGACCGGGACCTACAGTTTAACGTGGATCCACTAACAAACATCCCACCATCAGGATTCGAACCTGAAGTCTAAGGAAAAAAGAATAGATAGCAATACTTGTCTCCATCAAAATTTGGTTGTTCTATTACATATGTTCTTGTCCTAGAGGGGCAAGATGGCCGAGTGACTAACGCTCTGGTGCTCGGGGCTACAGGGTTCGAGTCCCGGCGGTGCTATAGATGTTTGCAGTGTTTCGGAATCAGCTTTAAACAGAATGTCCCGGTCTAATATGACTGTTGAGAGATGGGCAGACAAACCTACTATACAAGCTTTGACTTTGACTTGTTGCTTTGACTTGTTAAACTACCAAATAGAAGTGACGTGGGGAATATGTTTGTTCCAAACTGGCCACATCAATGTATGCTGCATTTTATTACTACTCTATGAGATAAAGCAAGGGCACTTGCGATGATTCTCAGAAATTTATTTCAGAAGAACTTATATTTTGTTTCAATTTTTTATTCGCAGCTATACCTCATCCTTTCCCACCCTGGCAGGGATGTTTGTTAGTGGTTCGGAATCCACGTTAAACTGTAGGTCCCTGTCTACAATTAGCCTAAGTTGTTGCACAAGATGACCGTAGAGCGACAAACCAAACCTTTCCCACCCCCACTCCCAAAAGTTAAGGAATTACATAGCATCCAATCGATAACTAAAATTGCTCAATTCGGTTTATTGGAACGACTGTAACCGTGTAGGGGCGAAGTTGAGTGCATTGTTTTCCTCGTGTACAAAGTAAAAGATGCGAGTAATAAGTTTGCCTCATATATTGATGCGCGCTCTGTTTTATTACTACTCTATGTAGCTGCCTGATGGCCGAGTAGCTAGCGCTCTAACTCATATACCACAGATTTCGGATTTCAGTCCCA